TATTAATATAACCATTAGATTTAAGCCCTAATCATTAAATTAATAATAGTACACCATCAACAATATCGGTACAATTTCTCACCGTAATATCCATAATGACTAAATTTACATAAATCACCAAGTTCAATTAACTAAACCCACAGAATAAACCACTTACAAAAGAATCATAAAATGGACATACTCATAGAAAAAGAATAAACAAAATATTGCGTAAATAACCACAGATTTGTTCTTTAAACAGTTCAGAATTTTATAACCAAAACAAACCTAAAGAAGGAATCTGTATTTATTTTATTGGTTACTGTGATGGCTACAAGATGGCGATAGTGTTAAAATACGTTTATTTTAGAATAGAAATATAATTTCGATTAAATCGATTTATTATAAGAAAAATAATACCATTTATTATTGAATTTTGAAAAACGTGTGAAGTATAATTTATGTAAAATTCCGCAACAGTGTTGCCACAACACCTGCTTATTTCCTTGGATGTAGGCGTGCCTGCCTCGCGTGTGCTAATACGAGAAAAGGAGACAACTATGATATCGCATTGTAATAGAACGAGACAACAAGGCTAACGCCAATCGTGAGTTTAAATTAGAGCTACAAAGTCAGTTACCTGGTCAAAACAGAAAAACAGTTGAACGTCAAGTTTGCTAAATATTTACAAAAATAATATTGTTTAAATGAGACATCCATTTTTACATATTTTAAAAGAAAATTTAGTTTAAAAGAAAAAATTATTATTGCATAACTATCATATGACTGAATATTTTGTTTGTATTTAAAAAAAAACAAAAAAATTGAAAAAACATCACGAATTTCATTTTTTTTATTTATAACTTCTTCGGTTGGGTAAAAAAAAATCGTATATTATAAAGGGTCGGGATTTTGCGTGGAATGAACCTTATATACATGATATGTATTCAAGTACTGAATATTTTTTTAAATAATTTTCCTGTTTATAATATATTTATTTAATGATATAGATAAGAATATTGAATATTATTTGATTTTAAAAGTAAAATAACTTGGTTTTTCGTGAAAATTTTTGGATTGGTAAGTTCTATCTATACCTACACTTTTTTATAAACATTGAGAAATATTTTTAACTTTAGTTAAAATGGGTGAATTTCTGAAAGTGGAAAAAATCAATTTGTTTCCAAAAGAAAACGCAAAAAAGCACAGGACTTACAAATATGAAACTGTTCATGATGATGAAAATCCCACAGCAGTTCTACGAAGAGGACAAACATTCAAAATGCAACTCGACTTTTCTAATGGATCGTTCGATGAAAATAAGGACAATGTTGAATTAATTTTCAACTATGGTTTGAATCCTAATGCTTTTAAAGGCACTAAAGGAGTTTTAAAAGTTGATTCTACCGGAAAGATTTGTGCTGAAAATACCGATTGGTCCTGTGAAATTCTTAAAAAAGACGACAAGTGTTTAGGTTTTGAGGTAATATTTTATTTAAATTTATATCCAGCAAATTTAACAATTACTTTTTAAGGTATGCACTCCGCATAATATTCCCATTGGTCTTTGGAAACTGCAAGTTAGAACATTAATGTCTGAAACTACCCCTGAAAAATTTGATTACGTCAACGATATTTATTTCTTGTGCAATCCTTGGAATAGCCGTTAGTAGTTAAAATAAATTTTTAAAAAGTTTAGGTTGTAAAATATTATTTACAGATGATTCAACATATATGCCGGAAACGAAATTGTTGGACGAGTATGTGTTAAATGATGCCGGTAAAATATGGGTTGGAAGTTCCAATAACCCTGGGTCGAGAGCATGGGTTTTTGGACAATTTGACGATATTGTTTTGCCCACCATAATGATGATATTTAATAGATCTAAAATGCCACATTCAAGGTGAGACATTTTAATTTTGACTCTTGCATAAAACCTAAAATACTATTTTTTTAGTCTTGGTGATCCAATTCAGATATGTCGCATGGTATCCAAAATGGTAAATGCCAATGATGATAATGGTGTTCTTCTTGGTAAATGGAGAGATTTTAAAGATAATGATGGTACCCTTCCGTCAGCTTGGACCGGTTCAGTACCAATTTTGCAGGAATATTACGACACCAAGAAACCTGTTAGATATGGCCAATGTTGGGTTTTTGCGGCCTTAGTAACAACAAGTAAATCATTGCGGTTTATTAATATTTAAACAAAAGAAATTATTATTATTTTTTAAGTATGTAGGGCATTGGGAATTCCTTCTAGAGTAGTTACAAACTTTGTGTCTGCTCACGATGTCGATAATACTTTCACGGTCGACACATTTTATGATAAAAACAACAAATACGACGAAAGTAAAACTATCGATAGCATTTGGAATTTCCACGTTTGGAATGATGTTTACATTGCGAGACCGGATCTTCCTTCCGGTTACGGTGGATGGCAAGCTATTGATGCCACTCCACAGGAACAGTCCGCTGGTTTTTTTCAATGTGGACCAACGTCTCTGGAAGCCGTAAGAAAGGGAGAGGTTGGTTACAACTATGATACGCACTTTTTAATTTCTACGGTCAATGCTGACGTAGTTCATTGGAAGGAAGATCCTTCGTCTGAAATTGGGTATTCCAGAATTTATTCAGATACACGCGCGTAAGTTATTATTTACAATTAAACTGAAACGGAAATTTCATATAAAATTGTTAGTGTTGGGCGATTTCTTTTAACTAAAAAACCTCTGGTCGATGACCCATTTGGTAATGAGGATTGTGAGGATGTGATCGACCAGTACAAGATGTCCGAAGGCACCAGAGCCGAACGACTGCAACTATTAAACGCAATAAGTAATAATGACTTCGCAAAAAAAAGGTGGGAAATGCCCAACACTGACCATCACGATGTGGAATTCAAACTAAATGAACTAGAAGAGGTTAAAATCGGAGACAGCGTTCACCTCACAGTTAATATTATAAACAAAAGCGACCAAATTAGGTAAGAAATCGAATTTTAAGGAATAATTTCATCCAATAATTTAATATTTCCAGAACTATAAGTGCAGTACTATCCACTGGCAGTGTTTACTATACAGGAGTAAAATCACATACCATCAAAGAGTTTGAAGAAGAGTTAAAAATAGAGCCACAATCTACAGTACAATTGACCACGTCCGTAAATCCCGACCAATACATGGACAAACTGGTCGAGCACGGAATAATGAAGTTGGACGCTATCGCAACAGTTAAAGAAACTGGCCAAACTTGGCTCGGCAAAGACGACTTCCAAATCATCAAACCCAAAATAAAAATAAAAACTTCTTCGAAGATTCAAGCTCGAAAACCCGCCTTGGTTACGCTATCATTCCATAACCCCATCAACAAATGTCTTACGGATTGCAAATTTAACTTGTCAGGTTCTTCGATGTTAAAAAATCAAGTGGTGCGTTGCGCCGACGTGGGTCCTGGGAAAAAAGTGAAGGTTGGAACAAAAGTTATGCCAAAAATCAAAGGGGAATTGACATTTGTCGCCACTTTCACTTCCAATGAGCTATCGGATTTAACAGGCTCAGTCAAAGTCAATGTAATAATTCGTATTTTAAACTAATAAACTTTTAATAAAATATTTTCTAGGTAAATAGGGAGATTCACGGCGGCGATAAGATACAATCTTTGTTTACTACCTTTACAAAATGCTATAAATAATGTATGTTTACTTTTAAATATACCTAAACTACCTAAACTAGTATTTATTATAAAGCATAAATAACTTCGGGTGAAGTACCCACACATAAACATAAAAACATCCTCCTTTAAAGGTTTTTATTCCATTTTCAAGAAAGAAATTTCGATTTTTACGTAAAAATTCGACAAATTGACACTGACATTTTAACGGTTCCTAACACCAATTTTGGTTACTCTGTTCGTGTATAGATGTCGTATTAATAATTTAAAGTTATAAAATATACGAAATCGTCTTTTAACCGCGACCTAAGAAGGGAAAAATGTTTGATACCCTTGTCGAATTTAAGAAAAAAGGTATTCTGAAAATCTGTATACAAAAAGGGCATTGTACCTCAATAAGCCAGGTACAAAACCTATAAGTGGCTATGCAAACAAAATAAGTTAAGAGAGACAGTCTGGCAACACTGTGCAGCTTGATTTAAAAATTTATCCCGGCGCATCCGCCATTTTTGAAAATAACAAAATATTTAATATAATTGTTTTTTAATGAAAAATGACAAAGTATACCTATTATGTAAAAATAAATAACAAAAAACTTTTTTGTAATTAAACTAAATTTAAAAAAAATCTGGCAACTTTTTTTGACAGAATCTGGAAACGCTGCTTGTTACCAACCATAACATAATAAATTAAATTAGGCAACCAGATTAGCCTAAAGTCCTAGTTGATCAGTAACGTACTTTTTGGTAGGATAAAGGTTATTATAAATTATAGTCTTTAGAATTCAGAGAAAAAAGTTTTAGGTGCTTCTTTATGGACCCTAAGAGGAAGTACACATTTTAATATATTACATAACACCCTGTATAGATAAATAACAAAAAACTTCAGCGGTATTTGGTAGCTGGCTTGAGGAAATATTTGACTACTCGTTCCAAGTACTGACTTTAAAGAAGAGGCTACACCTCCTTTAATGTTATATATCGCTCAATTTTAAAAATTTTTAAAAATATACTTTTTTAAATTTTGTTATATTTGCGGAATTTGTTTAAAAAATGAGAAAGAAAAATATTGTTAAATATTTGAACTATTATTTTAACACATTGGCGGTAGCCTGCCGCAGTAAATACACCGGTGATTTCCCTCGGCATTTCGGTAAATCCCAGAAGAATTCAGCTGACATGTTTTAGAACGCATTTATTATTTAGATTTTTTGTTATTTTGTCAACAAAAATTTATCTTGTTTTCAAAATGTTTTAACAAAGCAAAAAAAATAAAAATGCTAATAATATTAGTTAATAAATATTATATAATTCTAATCTAAACTGCAATGTGTTAGAATAAATATATCGGATTTTGATAAGCCCACTTAAAGCACACAATCATAAATTCCATAATTTTATTTAATCAAACACATTTCAACGGTGAATCTGTAGTGAGCAATATAAATAATGGCATATCGTAAGTACCTAAAATTAATTTGTATTACTTATCAGAAAATATAGTAATTTCTTTTTTTAACGACAAAAACAAACATTTAGTCGCCTAATTTAATCTATAGGCGTTTTTTTTAACTATCCTATGCTGGGCGTATTAATATCAAAGGGCGTATCAACAAGAACATCCAAATTTTGAAAAATTACAAGGACCATGTTTGAAAAAATATATTCAGAAAATGTTCTATTCTACTACAATTTTGTAAAGTTTTTATCGGAGGAAGAACCGTCCTTAATTTTCGATTTCCGGTAAACGAAACAAGGCAACTATAGTGCCAATAGGCAAACAAAAAACACGAATTTAAGGGTAAAAGTACTTAAAAGTATTAAGTATTAATTTAAATATTTTATCCGAAATCGGCAGTAAAGTAGTCAACAATCGACAGTAAAGTAGAACTTTACTGCCGATTTAATACGAGTATTGTATGCAACCCATTATACATTTTAAGATGTGTCTACTGCTTCTCAGCAGCAACTAAATAATATTAGTTCGTCGCGGGGGTCAATTGGACCCTTTCATAAAATGTTGTTTAATAAAAATAATAAATTAATTTTATTTATTAGATTAAAAAATCGCCGCGGCGGGCAAATATATAATAACCGTCGCAACAAACAGACACTTCCTAAATTCAAAGGACATTTGATTTGATCATCAATATTAATTATTAGTATTATTAAATGTGATTGATGGATAAAATTTAATATGGACCTCGGCATTAAAGTCATTTTTTATCACTCACGCACTTAACTTATCAATTTATTTATTTATTTATTTGAACTAGGTGGGGTACATATTATGATGCAAGCATACATAAAATCTGCCAGAGGTTTACTAACCTGTGTACAGACCTAGTTAACTAAACTAAAAAAAACTAAAACTAAAATTAAACTAAATACAAAACTACTTAATTAGTTTGTATTTACAATTCTAACAACTTTTAACAAAAATAAAGATTAATTCAGAACCAGTATATTAATTACTGTACATATTACAATTCTAGCAAGTTTTAAATTATTAAGTCATCTTTGTCTATGAAATTGAGCTTTAGGAGTTTATTTGTGTTATTGCACATCCATTTTTTTAGAACTTTTTTCGTGTAGTTACTCGGTTTTTCGATGGTTTTCAAGTCTATGTCCAGGATATTAAAAATTTTTATTGCTACTATTTGGCTACTATTTAATTTTAGGGTTTTTTTCACTTTTGGTAATGGCATTTTGATTCTTGTACATGTATCTTAATGAATTTCATTAATATATTATCGTGAAATGTAATACCGAGTGGTAAACCACTTAAAAATCAGCGAGACCAACGTTTAACTTTATATGGACGTTGTGTTCTGATTTTTCCTTATTATATCAGTCGTTATCAATAAGGAAAAATTCTTAGCCCATAATTTGTATGCGATTTTTAATTTTTAAAATTCAGTGATTACCTGTTGTGTAATACTAAAACATTCATAAATTTAGAATATTACCTATATAAGCTAATAATCTAGATTATTAAATATTTATTTTAACTTCAACTTGGCTATTTAATTTTATTGAATCTTCTTTAAAATCTTTTAAATATTTGAAATATAAATGTGGGTGCCTTTAAATTAGTTCTATGATATTAAATATTTTGTATCTGCGAGTTATAGCACTATAGCGCATGTCTATATCAAGTTCTGTAATTGGTTTGACATAAGACCTTTACGGTGAAAGATAAAACTTGAAAACTTCTACGGGAGAAAGGAAAGGCATTCTTAGGGTACGGGATCTATAAACAGCACTACGGTTTTTGTATTGTTCTTTTTTTTCGGGAGGAAGGAAGGAAGGCCCGCCAATGGTTACTGTTTAATTTTCTTAAAAAAGTATATTGTAACGTTTTTAACTGTTCGTAGTGTGAATTAAAACACGCACTGGTTTATTAACGAACTAAACTATTTATTTTAAAACTTAATTACACTTAAAACACTAAGAAAACTAACTAAACACTTAACTACTAATTATATATCACTACTATACTAGAGTCTATTTATTTGCATGTATATTTATTTATTTCGACGCGAGTACCAAAACTTGACTGACTGCTCCATGCAGCGTCGTTTCTTATATATTCAGCGCCTACGTCTTCTGGAACATTCCAACGAGCTCCACACTCTCGATTATTCGAGCGCTGAGTCACCGGCGATGACTCATCGGCGATGAGTCATCATTCCGAGATCCAGAGCCGTACTCGCTACAATATTTAATCTTTGATTTAATTATTTTCAGACGCTCCAGTTGTGAACCCAACCATAGGCTGCTGGATCTCGTCGACGAACGCCTCGATCCCGGCGGGCGCCTTCAGCGGCGGCCGCAACGTCTACGTGATCAGAGCCTACCAAAACGGCGGCTGGCTGCCGGGAAAGTTCGTGACGGGCCACCACGACGCCTACGTGGCGTGGGGCGGCAAGGAGATCCCGTGCTGCCAGTTCGAGGTGCTCTGCAACTCGCGCATGCGCTGGCAGCACTGCCGCGGAAGCGGAATTCCGTCCAACGCGTTCGTGGCCGGCAACTCCGAGACAGGAGAACCGCTTTATGTTGGCAAGACCGTGCACAACGGCGAGGTCTGCATCGGGAAAGTGCAGAGGAGCCACGGCGTCCTGTACTTCCCGTACGGGGGCAACGAGATGAACACCTCCACTTTCGAAATATTAGTTGTATAATTATGTAATAAACTTTTTTGAACAAAAGTCTGTTTATTTCCCACATAACACAATCAGAGCTGGAAGTATCTTGAAAAAATGTATTCCTTGGCATAAAAACAGAAGCGAATTTGCTTTCGGCACGCGCCTAAAGAGCGGCATGCTTTGAGCGCGCCACGCCTTTGTCTTTTGTCGGCTTTACACCGCGTTATTACAAATAAGCCGCATTATTATAAAATAATAAAAACAGTAGAATATTCGCTACTCTACCGTACTCATAATTGTTTATTGTTGATTTATTTTGGTAGAAATAAACCATTTGGTAACAATTTTTATTTTTTCAAGTAATATTGCGCTAGAATATCGTTTATTTCACAAAAATGTACATTTTCCAATACACGGGACTTAAATATAATAAAATCTCCACCGAGAATTGAACCCGGACCTTCTGCGTGAGATGCCGGTAACCTAAACAACCGACCAATCCTTGTCTAAAAAATTATAAGCAAAGTAAATAATTAAGATAAAAAATGTACTTGAAAATTAGATAACAATGAATGTTTATTGTTTTTAACAATTGAAACGATCTTTTGACCAGCTTATCATGTCAATTTTCCTCATAAAGAATGTACCTACTTGGAAATTAGATAATAATGAATGTTTATTGTTTTTAACAATTAAAACGATCTTTTGACCAGCTTATCATGTCAATTTTCTCTTGCAATGTGTAGGACATTATAACTTATAATTTTAAATAAAAGAAATTAATTAATTTATTAATTAATTCAAAAATACTTAAAAGTAACTTAAAGTATCTAAGATACTTTATCTTAGATACTTTTTATATTGGACAGAAAGTTACTTTGGAAAAGAATCTTGTAACTTGTTTCTAAAAAAGTATCTTAGTTACTCAGTAAAGTAACTTAGATTCTTTAAAGTAACTAAAATACTTTTTAAAGTAACACTTACACTTAGATACTTTCTTAGAGAAAATTGGGGTAATTCCAGAATGATTCAAAGTAATAACCTAACCAGAATTTAATCGGGTAAACTAGGCTCAGTAGTTTTTTGTTTGGTTTTTGTTGGAAACTGTTGAATGCAAAATAATTTAATAAAATCACGAGATCGCGTAGCGGTCGAGGGACTTTATTTTTAATTATTTTGCATGAAACTATTTTCCAAAAAGAAAAATCAAATAAAAAACTTACTGAGCATAGTTTGACAGATTAAATTTATAGGTTGAGTGATATACGATTATTTCTCGAATTAAAGGAAACTATTTGACAATTCATAAAATCTGACCTATGTGTCAAAATTAATAATTATTTTTTTAAAGAAAATTCCATTAATTTAAGGTATGTAATAAGTAATAATTGATATTTCGTAAACTAGATAACTTCTTTTTTATTGTTTTTTAAAAATTTTTGTTAAAACTTGTAAATAACACCATAAAATCGTAAACAAAAATCCAATATGGAGGCTAAAATTTAATCGCTGTTAAATAGTTCTAGTGATTTAATCGCTTATTTAAACGAAATTTATTCGAAAATTCAAGGCTTTTGATTGGTTCATATTATAATGCGGGAAATAATCAAACTTAAAAGTAACTTAGTTACTCAAAAGTATCTTAGTTACTCCAACGTATCTTAGATACTTTCATATAGTATCTTAGACACTTTAAAAATATTTACAACATTTACAAAAATGTTGTGAAAAAATTTCTATTGTAACTGGGACATCTAAATGTTTTAAAACATTTTAGAGGCATTTAAATATTTCTAAAATATTTAGTTCATTTGGAAAAAATATTCATTCAATATTTTAAATATATTTTTGTGTTATGTGGGTTTGCTTAAAGTAGTAAAATGTCCAACTCATCCCAGCAGTACTCATCAACTTAAAAAAAACAAAATTTTTTTGTAAAGCTAAACATTTATTTAAATTAAATATCTTACATCTCAAAGCATTCTGCAAGGCACATTCAAAGCCTCAGTAAGATTACCTTGTAGTAAATCAAAAAAATATAAATTACCTTGATATGGTATACCATTTACAAATAAATCCGTACTTTATTTAAAAATATACCTGTGATAAAAAAATCTACCTACACTTTATATTTACTTACAAATAAACCAAAGTTTCTAATTGGGTATGGCTTCAAGCATTTTGGCCTTTTCATTGGTCATTTTTTATGTTTATGTGATTTTTTAGTCTGATGCTGTTAAAGCTAAAACGGTGAAGTTTAAGTCTTCTGAATCTCGTTCCATGAATTCCTTGCATACTTTGGCAGAGTCCTTAAAATGATTTTAAGTCAATAAAATATCTATTTGTTAATTATTGTTAAACTTCTGAATTATTTTTTTCCAGATTTTTTAAGAATTAAATGCTTTGGAAAAATCAAAAAAAGTTTTTGACCCAACAAATTATATAAGTACCTCCAAAAATGTATCCTCTGTGGTTGGTCCATGATTAATTGGGAATTCCTTTCGCCCATCCAATTCATATAAATGCCCCCCTTTTTCTATAAGGGCTATAAAATGATGGTTTACTTTTTCATTTGGATTAACCTTAAAATAAAAAAATAAACCAACAATATAGGTAGTATTAGTGCAAGTTTTGGTAAATTTGCCAAGTGTTCTTTTATATCAAAGAAAAATTGCCCAATTACAAGCCTATTAAAATGAAATTTAAACATTAAAAAAATAAACAGCGGTTCTCAAAATACTAAAAAAAACTGAAAACCTGTCAAACCTATTTATTCCTGTGGATTTAGAAAAAAAGTAAGTTTTACATGTAAACATACACATTAATTTACATTTTCAAATATTTTTCCGCTACTATCTTGTATCTAAAATATAATCTGACAATACTGTATATTATTTGAATATAAAGTTCATTTTTTAATCTGGACTGCGGCAACGTTGCAAATTTAGGGTTTTAATTGGTAAATACAGTTGTCAAGTTGGTCGCATTGATTAAAACAAACTATGCTAGTTATAAATCTAATTGTGGTTATGTATAAATTATTGTAGGTTACATTGTGCAGTTGTCAAGTTGAGTTGTCGAAATTCGTAGTTAAAAATGCAATTAATTTGGCTTTGGTGGTGCTTGGATGAGTAAAATCATATAAAAAAGTAGTTAAATATAGGTTGCTTTACGGCCCACAAGAGAAAGTATTCCTAGCGGATAATAATCTTCGCTTTGAAAAGAATTAATATAAAAGAAATTAAAATTTTTTGTGAACGTAAATGTTGTCCAATGGTGAATAATGTGAAAATAATGTGATGTAATATTTATAAAACCAAATTCGTTACTTTTTCACTCCAAAAATGTCCATAAGGCGATGTACTTTTTCTTCCATTGTGGCATATTTCATCAAAATGAAGTTTTACCCTCAAAAGGGCTTTTACATTCGAATTCATTGCTATTATTTTTGGCATAATTATCTTTTTATTTATAATTGACAAGTAAATTATCAATAATAAATATTATTGTCAATTTGACAGTGTCAAAGTATTTAATTAAATTCTTTAGCAGAAGTACCATTTTTAAATACTAAAAATACTAAGTCAAACTGGCATACCTAAGCCACCAACCTAACACATTTGACACATTTGATTATGTTGGTATTGTATGTTAATATACTTACTTTGGTATTTTTAATATTTAAAATTGGTACTTCTGTTCAAGCCCTTTATTTTAAATACTTTCACGTTTGTCATTTAACTGTCAGAATTATTTGTACACAGGGAATGCAAATTTGCCTCTTTTGGGCTGTAAAGTCACCTATATTTCATCAAAGGTAAAGTTATTGCAATTTTTAACTTATTTAACTTATATTTGACATTTCAAAATTAGTAAACATATTCTTATAATTATAACATAAACACAATTTAATTTTCCACTAAACTAGTTTGTTCTACCCAATGTCGCCAATTATAATTTTATGGTCCCTAGATGTTGCCAACTAAACCCCTATATATACTAAGGGTTGAGAATTTATCTCTAGTTTTGCAGATTTTTCCCTAGGAATTTTTTTATTGCATATTGTAGCACGATTATTTTTAAACTAAAATAGAACAAAAACTAACCTCTGTTTGTCCCTCCATGGCCAACTCTTGATGCGCAGTAATCAGTTTTAGCGCCTCCGAATTTGAATTGCTCTGCAAGAGCAGCTCGCCCCTTTTCTCGGGGGTTAAGTCTTTGGCAGTGTCCAAAATAGTTTTGAACGGCCCGTCCGACAATCCGATTCTTTCTGCGTTGTTGGCCACACTGTGGATCAACGCTATTGTGCCGCAAGCATTTGAAACGTATTGTTTCATGTAAAACACATCTGGGGAGACTACTTGGCCTTTTTCTTTGACTGCTTCGCATTGTTTATCAGCATGTTCATAAAACTAAAATGGGGAGTTATCGGGGATACACAATGGGGAATTTCAACTTACTTGGTTGCTGCAAGGGAATAGTAAAATAACGGCTAAAACAGGCCTTGGCACCCAAGCTAAGGCATCTCCATCCAAACCATACACATCCACTATATTCCATTTTTCAGGTACTCCAAGTAAATGCAAGAACTAAACGGACTGCCATAATAAAAGGATAAATATGAAAAAATGAACTTACCTTATTCATAACCTGAAAAATGTAAATAATTAATTATGTTAATTTGTTAATAATGATGAACTTACATCTGGATTCGATTCTAATGGTAAAAGAGCCATTTTAGGTATTTTATTTGTAGATTTTACAAATATCAAATTGAACCGGCTTGTTGTTTCAGCTTTGACAGGAGCAGGGAGGTACTAACATGATTTATTATCTGTGTGTACTAATAGGTTTGTTAAAAAAATTATAAAATCGTTAAATAACACATATTTTAATCTTATTTAACATACAACTGCAGTTTTAAGTATAATATATTTATTCATATTTAAATTACAAAATTTAATGATTTGTTAGCATGAATATATTGTATACAACCCTGTTCACATAATCGGTGCAAGCCAGTGTTGCCAGATTAGAGAATTTGTCCCTATTTATAGGAATTTTTTTGGAGAATAGGGAAAAAGGGAATTATTATTTGTTTATTTCGTTATACCTAGACAAAAACTTTTACAGGGTAGGTATAACGTTTTAATAAAAAGTCATGTTATTAAATAAATAACTATTGTAAAATTTTGGTTGATTTCTTATACAACTATTGTTGCGAGCGTGTAATAAATTATCACTATATAATAATAGTTGGGGTGCCGTTCGGTTATAATGCACGATTTACTAATAGATGGAGCGAGCAAATTTAATAGTTTTAGTTGTTTTCCTTGATTATAGTATTAATACATTTATTAGGGATTTGATCAAAAAACTGAAAGTTTATAAATCGCGTTTTAAAACTCTTTACTAGCTTAGGGTAGAGACCATGATAGAGACCTTGAATATTTATGACAAAAAACGTCAAAAAAATATAGTAAAAAGGATAGTGAAATTCATAATAGCAATATGGAATTATAGGGAATTTTTACATCACTGGATAGGGATTTATTTTTCGATGTGGCTCCCGTCCCGAGGCGGGACTTAACTTCGATCCCGACAGACGTCACACACTGTATCCGTTTTTATTCCCCGAGCTTTTATAATTGGTGTCAAGCTGGATGGCTTAGATGGTAGGGCGTTCGCTTGGCATGCGAGAGGTACCGGGTTCGATTCCACTAGAAGTTGTCAAACTTTTTTTTATATATTTGTTGTTTCTTTGTTAAAAAGTGTTTTATTTTTATCGTAACATAAATTTGCCCATTTTAGTTGGGTTTTTTGCTCAATGGGGCGGGGGGGGCCCAATGGGGCGGGGTCGGTTGGGTTGTGTTGTTGAGTTTGGGTTGGTTTGGTTTTATGACGTAACTAACGTGCCCTTAACATGTATACAGGTACAATTTATTATTATTATTATTTTATTATAACATAACAAATCATAAAATTATGACAATCGGGACTGAACTTAAGTCCCGCCTCGGGACGGGAGCCACAGCGTTTATTTTTTAACCATCTGGCAACACTGGAGTAAGAATTGTTGTTCTAATCTATGGGTTTTATCATAATAATCACATATTTTTAATTACCTTTTTATCAATATTTATTAATTTTTTTTCTACTCCTATTGCAGAATATATGACTTTATTAGGGGGTTTTCCCTATATACGATATATAACCTGCCCAACAACGGGAATAATTACTGTAATTATTTCCTGTGATTGGACTAATCAGGTGGTTACTATTCCAAAAACATCATAGTCGCCCCTTGTATAAATAAAATCTGACATCTATGAAATGACCTCACTTTTTAATTTCCCCATGAAGTACCTATTAGAACTTATTTATTTGTCCCAATAAAAATTTTGCAATAGGAGTAGAAAAGTAATGCGCATTATCTCTCGTATAAAATTTTTCTGTTGTCTATGGTCTGTAAACATTTTTTTGTCCTCGCTTACGACATTTAAAATTTTGGGTAAAGATGTAAGTACCTAAATATAAGTTAATTCTTGTATTAAAATAGAATTCTTAGAATTTAAAAAGGAGTGAGTCATACGTTAAAATATATTAATATACGGGTTATCTTTGAACTTCAACGGTTGAATTGGTTGCGTCTTATTCAGTATATAGTTTGCGTTTGCTATAGCTACTCATAGTAGTCTCATACACACCTCTGTGCTACTCATACTTTGCTTTGCAACCCATATGGGTTGTATATACAACATTGGATTGTGCTTGTATTTATATTAACATGATATTACCAGCAGTAAACTCAGGTAACAAAATGTGGGCAACAGAACTGTTACAGAAGTAAGCTTAATTAATCCTGATAGGTATACAGTGTGACCCATTTGTTTGCGACTCACCCTTGTTAAATCTTTATTTATTGTGCTATTTATTTATTTTAAAGTGCAGATCTTGATAATTTTATTTTTGGTGCTAAAATCATCAGATTCTTACAAAATACAAGGCCTACTATGTCAGCTTTGAGAGTAAAGTTTTAAAAACTCATATTAGCGACTTAAAAAAAATCTATGCACGGCACTGGATTTATCACAACCTCAAAACGACCCTGGGCGATTTCATGAAATCGCCCGTTAGTAATCATGCATGATTACCAACAAAAAGAAAACAAAATGTTTTATAAAAAATTTTGAAGATGTGTTGTTCCTATAATAATAATTTTATGATAGTTCTCAACAATTAAGTAATAATAACCATCATAAAATTATTGTTATAGGAACAACATATCCACAAAAATATTCATAAAACATTTTGTCTTTTTTCTGAGTGTCCCGTTAGTAATCATGGAATCGCCCCCTAAACTAAATTTTAATGAAAATTAGGGGCCGCCCACAAATGATGTCACACGTTTTTTTAATATTTACCTTTATAAATATAAATATTTACATATTATTTCATATTGATGTATATTGTTCTTAAGGTGCACCTGTTCAGGTGGGTGGGTCCGTGACTCCGACAAGTGAGGTGGCAATTCACTTCGCACTTTTAAACTTTTAGATATTTAGGTTTTAAACTTCAATGATTATGCACTCAATACTTATTTAAAGTTCAGAGCGGGGAAACTAGCACGTCTCGCCCGTAGGAGTGATGATTTTGTACATTTTTATTAAAACACCGGTTATAGAAAAAATCCTGTGTGTAATTCGAATACAAAATCAAAATGTTTAATATACCTTGATATATTAAGTGGGTAATTTAATTTCTACATACCTACCTACATATATATATTTATATTTAAAAGTTAAAATTAAAGACTCAATATAGAAAGAAGTAGGTACAACCTTTATTTTTGATACACTTTATTTTTGTTATTTTCAGACGCCCCAGTTGTGGACCCAAGCATAGGTTGCTGGATCCCGGCCACATGTGACGCGATTCCGCCCGGCGCATTTTGCGGCGGTACCAACGTTCAGTGGTTCGATTCCAAGGTCTTCGTGATCAGGGCCCACAAAAACGGCGGCTGCTTGCCCGGAAAATTCCTCTTACGGCACCCGGTCGCCTACGTGCCGTTGGCCGGCGAGGAACACCATTGCCCAGAATTCGAGGTGCTCTGCAACTCGCGCATGCGCTGGCAACACTGCCGCGGAAGCGGAATTCCGCCCAACGCGTTCGTGGCCGGAAGCACCGAGAACGGAGAGCCGCTTTATGTTGGCAAAACTGTGCACAACGAAGAGGTCTGCATCGGGAAAGTGCAGAGGAGTCATGGCGCTTTGTATTTTCCCTGGGGGGGCAAGGAGTTGACCACCCCCACTTTTGAAATATTAGTTAAATAAATATGTACAAACTTTTTAATTTTTTATACCTAATAATTAAATAAAATATAATATACTTGAGGAAATTTGATCTTTGTTGAATTTACAGCCTATTTTTGTCTTTTTTGAGCAAATATACAAATTACAATTTGTAAAACTTAATCTGCTTTTTTATGTTTGTAGAAATAAGCTGCTAGCATTATTGAGCTACTTAATACAGTATTAACTCCAAAATTCAATAGGAGTGTTAAATCAGCAGATTCTACCATAATTGTGAAAATTCGTGCTAAAAAAAATAAGAAAATAAGGATGTTTTCGTTTTTGATTCCAAAACTTACTAAAATTTGTGAATGCAGATATAAACCAGGTAAGCACACTAACGGAATCTGAATTCTTGGTTCTTATGATTTCAAATAATTGCACTACTTTGGATGATGCTCCTATTGGGGTACATAATGGCTAAAATAATAGAATTTATGAGGTTGTTATGAGAAGATAGATACAGTTCATTTTTTTTTATCTGGACTTGTGTTTTTTTGTTAGGTTGGTGGCTTATGCCAGTTTGACTTATTTTTAGTATTTAAAAATGGTACTTCTGCTAAAGAATTTAATTAAATAGGTACTTTGACATTGTCAAATTAACAATAATATTAATTATTGATAATTTACTTGTCAATTATAAATAAAAAGATAATTATGCCAAAAATAATAGCAAAGAATTCGAATGTAAAAGGCATTTTAGGGGCAAAACTTCATTTTGATGAAATTATGCCAAATGCCACAATGGAAGAAAAAGTACATCGCCTTATGGACATTTTTGGAGTAAAAAAGTAACAAATTTGGTTTTATAAATATTACATCACACATTATTTACCATTGGACAACATTTAAGTTCACAAAAAATTTTAATTTCTTTTATATAAATTCTTTTCAAAGCGAAGATTATTATCCACTAGGAATACTTTCTCTTCTGGGCCGTAAAGCAACCTATATTTAAATACTTTTTTTATATGATTTTACTCATCCAAGCACCACCAAAGGCAAATTAATTGCATTTTTAACTACGAATTTCGACAACTCAACTTGACAACTACAATAATTTATATATAACCACAATTAGATTTATAACTATAGCTATAGCTTAGTTTGTTTTAATCATTGCGACCAACATGACAACTGTATTCACCAACCAAAACCCTAAATTTGCAACGTTGCCACAGTCCAGATAAAAAAAATGAACTTTAAAGTACTTAGTAATTAATAATTAATAATTAAGTAATTAGTACTTGTACTTGTCAAGAGTTTCTCCTTCTTTATTTAGTCTTCTTGACTAAAAGGTCAAAACATTATGTTATCTGTCAAAATATTGTGTTTTAATAAAAGGCAGTAAATACATAACTCACCACAAGAAAAGCCAAAACTCCAATTGGAACTATACCAATTAAGAAAGAGCCAGCTATGGTAAAATAAATACCACTAATAAAAACACTGATTATATTGAGCTGACTTTTGTAGTACAATACAAAGAATATAAGAATTAATTCCTGGAATAATATTATTGGATATTCCATGTACGAAAGCAATGCATAGTTGTTACGATAGTTATAGGACATCATAATGGTGTAACTATAAAAACAGAAATTGTTATTAAAACATTAAACACTAAAATTAAACGAACCTGGATAGTTCCATGAGAAGTCCAATTAAACTGATCCCCCTGGCATTTTTTAGTTTAAGAATGTTAATAATTTGTGGCACTTTCAAAATAAAGCACGTTGATATTGTTATGATGCTTAAAACATCGGAAATTAATCGCAGATAGGTTTCAAAGGGCGTTAAGTGCTGCATTTTCAAATTAAACAATGAAATTTTCACTAAATTTTACTTGGCACATACCTCTTACTTATTTTTATCTTTTAGTAATATAAAATGTGTTCCTAGGTACTTCTCTATTTTTAATTTACCTAAGGCCAAGTTCACGTCATTATATGTAGTTGTTTTTATTAATTGAACGAATTTCTATTCAAAACCGGAATTTTCGAGGTTAGGATGTAAACTTTATATTCTAAAGGTCAATCTATACGAGGTAGGACGAAAATAATCTCCAAAGATTAAATCTAAAAATATAGAAAAGTAACTATTTTTTTCAAGGTTATATTATACTATTTTTGACTCGAAACGGAATTCTATCTCAATGATTAAATCACATGTTATTCTGACAGTAACCGTCAGAATAACATTGAGATAGAATTCTATCTCGATGGATCTCGTCATTATAACATAACTCAACGCAGAAAAACCACCATTGTATTTTAACAAAAAACAAACTTGTCGCTTTGAGGTTATGTCAATGACATTTTGGTTCAGTTTTTCAACACTACAAAACAGTAGGCATTACCCTTCCACTCTTTTAACCTGTCTAGGGTACAAACGGCCCAAAATATATTTTCGTACGGTATGGCAAAAGGGTGGATTAAATATGAAAGTAAATTTTTTAAAGGACAAAAGAAAACAAATTTTATTATTCTAACCTAATAACACTCTGTATAAAAGTGTATACGGGTCATTCCACCAAATAATTTTTTTTAGTGATGAAATTAGCGTTAAACTGACAGATACACTATCTTAATTATTTGACTGCATTCGTTTATCAAATGTTTTGATGTGGAGCATGGTACAAATATTTGTTGTTATTTACCAACAATCCTTATTTTATGCCTTTTAACCTATCGATTTTATTTGTTTATTTTTTTTATAACATACCTTATTTTTTGTAATGATAACTTTGGTAAAGCCAATAAATTTAACGAACTAAACTGTCGTTCAAGAAACAAAAAAGTTATGTCGTTTTGAAAAAGGACGAACTTTTTGGTCGCGACACATTGAGTGGTGCGCAGTTTATTTAAATTTGACCCTATTTATTTAACTGATATTTGTGTTGGCAACGTTGCGGTTCGCTCCTGTGATTTACAGCCGCATACTTTTTTGTTATGAGTAATTTTTAAGTATATTTGTGGTTGGGTTAAGGCATTAATACAAGAGTTAAATTTTAGAACTAATATATTTTATTATATGAATACATTATATATAAAATACACATCTTAACAATAAACACCTATTCCAGTTTAAATATATGGATAATTTTTTGAAGGAAATTAAGGACTAACTGATTAGAATGTCCGCCAGTCTTTTTAAAAGGAAAATTTTGTGTGCTACGCTATTGCACTGAATCGGATAATTTAGTGTTGAAAAACGGACTATTCTAATATAAATGCTTGAAGCGCTGCTACATACGGTGCGAAATAAAAATGATTAGAATATAACCTTAAACACCACAACTAATTAATAGTCCATCCATTTTATTTTTAAGATCTAGCGACGATTCTTTATCGAGGTGCCACCGCATGCCATCACAGATCATATCACTCGAAAATATTACCGACAACTGCTAAAAAAGACAAAATCCCTAGATCTAGAAAACCATAAAACAGACAAACTCGTCACTACAAAATCTAAGGTGGATAAATTTATTTTATTTTTCGTAACATCAAGGCCAGGTTTCAACTGGCGACGCCGGGATTGAGTCGCGCGCGACGCGAGCGAAGCAGCTATTGGACGAGCTCGGCCACCACTCGGTTGAGATCGTCGTTGTAGCGGGCCAATAGCGAGGCGTTCAGGTCCCTGTCCCAGAAGCCCATGTCGGTCAGGGCGCGCAGGTTGGCCTCGCGCGGGGTGTCCGCGTTTGCGGAGACCCAGTGACCGTTCACCCAATGACCCGACTGAAAGAGACAAGTTACCCTGGTCAACAACTTTTCTAGCGTAATTTGGGTAGGCTGGTCGCAAAACGAACCATAATTTTGCTCAATTAGCATTTGATTTCGAGATATTGTAAAAACGTTAAAATTTGTATACCGTACCTTCATTTGCAAGCTATACATAGGGAAAATACATTGTAGGTGGAACAGACAAGTCGAAGTCGGCGCGGTCAGCGCGAAACGAAAATGTTCCCAGAAATTATTTTGACGAGTGGATGAGTAGACTAACATGCGATGTAACAGGTGACCTTGTTTACTGGCGATTAAAATTTTATTACGTCCAAATAATTTCTGAGAACTTTTTCGCTTTGCGCTGACTTCAACTTGTCTGGTCCACCTACAATGTATTTTCCCTATGTATAGCTTGCAAATGAAGGTACGGTATATATTTTTTTTAAATCAAATACTTTAACCAAGGATCATTGGTCGTGAAGCTACGTGTCCTAGTATCAAGTTAGCCCCTTAAAAGAACATATTTTTAACGAAATAAAACCGCTTTTATAAAGTCCAATTTTAATAAAGATTACAAAATTGTTTAGCTTCATTTATTTACTTTGATAAAATCGACGCATTCAAATAAAAAATAACCAAAAATTTTTTTTTAAGTTTCCCAATTTTCAAAATTTGTAAAATCATTAAAATTATGTTTTTAAATCAGTTGTCATAATTTTCAACATTTCCCCAATTTTCACATTTTGTAAAATCATCAAAATTAAATTTTAAAATCAATTTTTAAAATTTCCACAATTTTAAAAATTTGTAAAATCATCAAAATTATGTTTTTAAATCAATAATTTTGAAAGTTTGTAAAAAAAATCAAAATTATGTTTTAAAATTAATTTCAAAATTTTCACTTTTTGTAAAATCATCAAAATTATGTTCCCTGAATTTTCAAAATTTCCTACATTTTCAAAGTTAGTAAAATAATCAAAATATGTTTTTAAATCAATTTTCAAAATTTTCCCATATTTCAAAATTTGTAATACCATCAAAATTATGTTTTTAAATAAAATTTCAAAATTTGTAAAATAATTAATTTTCACAATATCAAAATTTCCTTAATTTTCAAAATTTGTAAAATGATCAAAATTATGTTTTTAAATCAATTTTCACATTTTGTGAAATTACCAAAATCAATTTTCACAAAATTTCTTGAATTTTCAAAATTTGTAAAATTAACAATATTATGTTTTTAAATTAATTTTCCAAATAATCCAAATTTTTGATTTTTTTTTTAAATATTCACATTTTGTAAAATACTTAAAATTATGTTTTTAAATTAAATTTCAAATTTACCCCAATTTTCAAATTTTGTAAAATCATCAAAATTATGTCTTTAAATCAATTTTCAAAATTTGTAAAACCATCAAAATCATGTTTTTAAACCAAATTTCAAAATTTTCCCAATTTTTAAAATATGTAAAATCATCAAAATTATGTTTTTAAATCAATTTTCACATTTTGTTAAATTACCAAAATTGTGTTAAATTTTCACAATTTTCAAAATGGTCTTAATCAATTTTTACAATTTCACAAAATTATCAATATTATGTTTTTAAATTAATTTTCCAAATATTCCAAATTTTTGAAGGTAGTCAAATCATAAAAATAATGTTTTTAAATCAATTTTCAAAAATTTTCCAAACTTTAAAACTTTGTAAAATCATCAAAATTATGTTTTTAAATAAATTTTTAAAATTTCCCCAATTTTCACATTTTGTAAAATCATCAATTTTCACAATTTTCAAAATTTCCTGAACTTTCAAATTTATATAATCATGAAAATTATGGTTTTAAATCAACTTTCACAATTTTCCAAATTTTTTAAAATTGTAAAATCATTAAAATTATGTTTTAAAATCAATTTTCAAAATTTCTCCAGTTTTAAAAATTTGTAAAACATGATTCTTGGTTTAGTATTTAATTAAAAAATATAAACAGTGTGTTTTATTTTGATTGCCGACAATTCGTTATTTATTTAAAAATAATTCGATTTTAAAAACTTATTTTTAGTTTGTATTTGAAAAAAAACATAGTTTGTACTTGAAAAAAACATTGTTATGGCCATTTCCGTGGCCCTCTATGATTAATCTCCAAAAACGTCAAAAGTTATTAGGCATTTTTTAAATTTAAAAATGACAGAATTGTCCAAGTTTGACCTTACAGGATGTATAACATTTTATTACAAAATTATCGTTTTTTGGTATGCTAAATTCAGAAAGACTATATATGACAATGTTTTTTTCTTTAAAATATAAAGCAAAGTACTAAAAACTAAATCGAACTATTTTTAAATAAATACCGGATTGTTGCCAATCAAAATGAAAACACTGTATACTAATTTAAATGTTTGCATATCGAAAAAAACGTTTTTTTGGAATCAGCGCACCCAAAACAAAAAATTTCACCATGACACAGTTTAAAGCATTCACGACAAGCTTAATGTTGGGTTTAAAACGAAAATACATGGTTTTAAAATTGTAAATAAAAAAGTTAAGAATGTTAAACCAAAAAACATGGTTGTAAGAAAATTAAACTGTGCTTAAAAATATACCAGATTGCTTTGGTACCTTTAAACTATCTTTGGCTAAAATATAATTTAAAAATAATATTTAATTAATTTATTTGGGTACAAAAAAGCTGCTACTCACCTCTCTCGGAGGAACGATCATGTTGATAACGGACCTGGCGGTGTTGATGGCGGAGGAAGCGACATTAACCGCCCCCGACACCAAGGCGTCGGGCAAGATGTGCACCGGCGGCTGAGGCGGGGCGGTGGGGCTCCCGACCGCCTCCGGTCGCCGCCGCTCGCCGCCCCCGAGGGTGGCGGCGAAGTCAGCCGCCGTCGGGGCCCTGCGCTCTTCCGGCGGCGTCTGCTGGTAGTTGGCGACGAACTGCGGCGGCGGGGCGGTGAACGGGTTGCCGTTGCCGCAGGTCGAGGTGTTGGGGGCGGTGCGCGCCGTCGTGTAGATCGGGATGACAGACGGTTCGTCCGAGACGGCGCAGGGGAAGACCATGCGCGGGCCAAGTGGGTACGCCTCGGTTGTGGGCTCCCGCTCTAAAGGATAATTTAGAGTTGCTGTTTCAGTTTTAGGGCCATTCCACGCTTAACGGATAGGACAGTTGCCGTGTTTTTATTTACAAAATAATATTGTTCTATTATATTACCAATGTCAAATTTTTATAAATAGTTCTAAACAAAAGCTGTTTAACAAGGTTTTTATTTGGCAAAATTAGGTATCGTGGTTGACTGTTTAATTCCTTAAAAACTAATAATTTAAAGCGTAACGGACGGGACTATTACAAAGTAATAGTAATAGTCCCGTCCGTTACGCTTTAAATTATTAGTTTTTAAGGAATTAAACAGTCAACCACGATACCTAATTTTGCCAAATAAAAACCTTGTTAAACAGCTTTTGTTTAGAACTATTTATAAAAATTTGACATTGGTAATATAATAGAACAATATTATTTTGTAAATAAAAACACGGCAACTGTCCTATCCGTTACGCGTGGAATGGCTCTTTAATATAAATTGAGATTTTTACTTATAATTTGCATTTTGACATGCAACGGAAGTTGCGCGCGCATATGTAACGAAAATTCGACGGTATGAAGTTGGCCGTTTAAAAAAGTCCCACCCTGACACGAATACAAATAATTGACATCTGACAGTGTCATGCAGAACATGCAGAAAAATAAATATAATTATTTTCAGAAAAAAAAATTAGCGTTAAACTGGCAGAAATATAACTTCAATTATTTGGATTTTATTTTAATGTCAATTTTCATAAATTTTAAAATGTCCCCAATTTACAAAATGTGTAAAACCATCAAAACTATGCTTTTAAATCAAGTTTTAAAATTTATAAAATTATTAAAATTGTTCTTAAATAATTTTTTACAAATTACAATATTTCCCCAATTTTTAAAATTTGTAAAATCATTAAAATTATGTTTTTAAATTAATTTTCACAAATTTCAAATTTTTCCCAATTTTCAAAATTTGTTAAATCATCAAAATTATGTATTTAGTTCAATTTTCAAAATTTGTATAATCATAAAAATTGACAATTTTAAAAATTTATTTAATCAAAATTGTGTTCAAGTTTCACAATTTTTAAAATTTACCCAATTTTAAAAATTTGTAAAATCATCAAAATAATGTTTTTACAATTTTCAAAATACAATTTTACAAATTTAAAAAATATTTTTTTAAATATTAAAAAAATTTGAAAATTGATATAAAAACATAATTTTGATTATTTTACAAATTTTAAAAATTGGATAAATTTTTAAAATTCGTAGTCATCAAAATTATGTTTTTATATAAATTTTAAAATTTTGTCATAATTTCAAAATTTGCAAAGTTGTATTTTTGTAAAATTATCATTATACAGGGTGTCCCAGAACTCGCGCCACAGAGAAAAAGGGGGCGTGCCGATAGCAATGGAGATGCCAAATTTAAAAATAAAAAATTTCTAGGTAATAGTGTAAACTAATGAGAGCAAAAAAGCGGCAGCCAATACCGAGAGCTCTCGCCTAGGTTAAACGTAAGAGCTTTAAAAATTGCTAGGAGACGATAGAACATTGTTGTATTAAAAACATTTAAAAATCTTTTGGCCAACTGTATTTACTAAGTTGTCAAAAGCTTTCAAAAATGAGGTTATTAATCTATGACTTATACTTCAGAACGCCAATGTTTTAAAATAACGATTAGGAAAGGGCTGGGAAAAAACTCGCGTTGTCTCCCTGGCGTTGCGCCCACACTAAATAAATAAATAATTATCATTTCACTATAATCATTTAAGGAAAACATTATTTGAGTACATTAGATGCAAAACTCGGTTTTTGCACATTTTAAAAAAATATATATTTTATCTTATTTATGTTCATAACTGCACTGCCCACAGCATAACTAAGTAAACCAGATGCATAAGTTAATATTTGTAGAATAAAATACATTTATAAACTTACCGCAGCTGCAAAACTGGGTATTTGTCGGATGCAAAACTCGGTATTTGACCAATCATCAATTACGTCGCTAGTATACGTATTAACTGACGGCATAACAATCACCTGATTAATTCTTATTTTTTTAGTATTTGCACTTTTCACTTGCAAAACTTGGTCTTTGAACGAGGAAGATGCAAAACTATGTTTTTAAATCTTTTGATTTCAATTATTTACTAAACTACTTAATTTACAGGACTTTTTTTTACTTTTTTGAATAAGAAATGATGCAAAAGCACGTCTATACGATTTTTGTATTTTTTTTTCAAATATGACCTTATGAGCGGTTTTTCGTGTTTTTCTTAAAATCACTTATCCTGCAAATACAGAGTTGTGCATCTAATGTACTCATTTATAATAACTTAATTTATAACCTAATATAATATTAATGACAGGAGTTTGACAGCAGTGTCACAATGAATTGGATTCCAGTGGACCAAATATTTTACATATTTTTTATTATCAACAATGCAACCTAAGTATCCTAGCAATTTAAAGAATTCCCTATGGCCATCTATTGGGATTGGCTATCGTTTTTTATTCTTATCTCGCTTATCCTTTGCGTTAGACAATTTTAATTTTCAAATATGTGTTTCACGTTACTTTCGGCACGTTCCGGTTTTCTATGAGCGCGAGTTCTGGGACACCCTGTATATTTTGAAATAATTTTCACAAATCATGAATTGTAAAAATTTGAAATTTTGGAAATTTTAAGATTAAGGTTTGAACCTTTATTAATTGTATCTTTCTTTAATCATTTTATCGTTTTTTATTATACCAAATAAGTTTAACACAATTTTTTTTTATAAATTCTCCCAGCCAGTAAAATTAATTAGAAAAAATATCCTGAAACTGTCAGAACTGTCCGAAATGTACTGAAACTGACTTAACCCAAAACAATTTTTAAATTGATTTAATTCTCTAAGAACTCTCTAAACATAGGTACTAAAGTTGTGTAAAGTATCTTGATTGAACTAAAACTTTCTAAAAATATGTTAAGTATCATTTTATACTTAATATGACATTTTTAGACAGTTTTAGGTTAATTTAATAGTGTTTAAAGGGTTCTTAGAGAATTTAATCAGTGTAATAAATTTTTAGGGAAATTTAGTACCATTCAAAATAGAGAAAAATATAGAAGATGGTTTAAAAATGATCCAGTCTGCGACGAAATTCTATAAATTGTAGAAAAATTATACCTAATTTTATTAATTTTAATTTTTACTTTATTAAAATTGTTAAGGGTTTCTTTACCTGTTAAAGTCAAAGGACAGACGTTCGGTTTAGGCCTGATCTCGTATCCAGCTTGTTCCTGCGGAAAAACAAAAACCCTCGACGAAGTCATGTCGGACGGTTCGCTGGGCCTACTCTGATCGGAAGCCTCGAGGACTAAAAGAAACAAAAAAAGAAAACAATAAAAATCTTTTGCGCAACACCGCCTACTCACGCTGCGCGGCCGAGGGGTCGCAGTTGCCCTCCTTTTCGGCGCCGTTGCGATCTATCGACAGGTTCAGCGGGGCGCGCTCCTCGATCTCCAGGTTCTCGTCGTTCTGCGTGTCCTCGTCGCAGGATTTCTCGTTGACTACGACCACCGAAGACGAGACGCTCATCGTGGACGGCGTCTTGCTCTTCAGCGGCTCGCCCTCCCTCTTCTCGAGGTACTCGGCCTTCAGGATCTTCTTCGGGATGTGCATCCCCTGCCCGTTCACCTCCACGTACGCGTATCCTATCGGAACGTTTTATTCAATTTTTTGTGTGATTTTGCAAATGCATTTTTAAACCACATAATGGATTTTATAAATAAAATCGCGTTAAAATCAAAATTAGGTTTTTAATCAATTTTCAAAATTTGTAAAATTATCAAAATTGTTTTTAAATCAATTTTCACAATTTTCAAAATTTCACCAATTTTTTAAATCAATTTTCAGTTTTTAAAATTTTCCCAATTTTTTTAATTTGTAAAATCTTCAAAATTGTGTTTTTCTAAAATCATCAAAATTAAGGTTTTAAATCAAATTTCAAAATAATAAAAAAAGAATCGCGTTAAAATCAAAATTATGTTTTTAAATCAAATTTCAAAATTATAAAAAAAAGAATTGAGTTAAAATCAAAATTACGTTTTTAAATCAATTTTCACAAATACAAATACCCAATTTTCAAAATTTGTAAAATTATCAAAATTGTGTTTTTAAATCAATTGTCATAATTTTTGTAAAGTTTGTAAAATCATTAAAATTATGTTTCAAATCAATTTTCAGTTTTTTAAATTTTCCCAATTTTGAAAATTTGTCAAATTATCAAAATTGTTTTTAAATTAATTTTCAGTTTTTTAAATTTCCCCAATTTTAAAAATTTGTAAAATTATCAAAATTATGTTTTCAAGATTTCCCCAATTCTTAAAATTTGTAAAATCATCAAAATTATGTTTTAAATCAATTACAATTACAATTTTCAAACTTAACCAATTTTCAAAATTTGTAAAATTATCAAAATTATGTCAATCAATCAATCAATTTTCAGTTTTAAAAATTTCCCCAATTTTCAAAATTTGTAAAATCTTCAAAGTTGTGTTTTTATAAAATCATTAAAATTTCGCCAATTTTTAAAAAATTTTAAAATTATGTTTTAAATCAATTTTCAGTTTTAAAAATTTTTTCAATTTTTTAAATTTGTAAAATCTTCAAAATTGTGTTTTTCTAAAATCATCAAAATTATGGTTTTAAATCAAATTTCAAAATAATAAAAAAAAGAATCGCGTTAAAATCAAAATTATGTTTTTAAATCAAATTTCAAAATTATAAAAAAAAGAATTGAGTTAAAATCAAAATTACGTTTTTAATTAATTTTCACAAATTACAAATTCCCCAATTTTCAAAATTTGTGAAATTATCAATTGTCATAATTTTTGTAAAGTTTGTAAAATCATTAAAATTATGTTTTTAAATCAATTTTCACAATTTTTAAAATTTCACCAAATTTGTAAAATTATCCAAATTATGTTTCAAATCAATTTTCAGTTTTTTAAATTTCCCCAATTTTCAAAATTTGTAAAATCTTCAAAATTGTGTTTTTGTAAAATCATAATAATTATGTTTTTAAATCAAATTTCAAAATAAAAAAAAGAATTGCGTTAAAATCAAAATTATGTTTAAAATCAATTTTCACAAATTTCAAAATTTCCCCAATTTTCAAAATTTGTGAAATTATCAAGATTATGTTTTTAAAATTCCCCCAATAATTGGGGGAATTATTCTCAAAATTCTCAAAATTTGTAAAATTATGTTTTAAATCAACTTTCAGTTTTTAAAATTTCCCCAATTTCAAAATTTGCAAAATCTTCAAAATTGTGTTTTTGTAAAATCATCAAAATTATGTTTTTAAAATCAATTTTCACAATTTGTAAAGTTTGTAAAATCATTAAAATTATGTTTAAAATAAATCAATAAATAAATCAATTAATAAATCAATTCTCAGTTTTTAAAATTTCCCCAATTTATAAAATTTTACCAATTTTTTAAATTTGTAAAATCATCAAAATTATATTTATACTTATATCAAAATTTATTGTAAAATCATCGGTCAATAATAGCCTTTGAACTTGGTTTTAGTTCAATAAAGCATTATTAATATTATTATTATTATTATTATTATTATTATGTTTTTAAATCAATTTTCAGTTTTTAAAATTTCTCCAATTTTCAAAATTTGTAAAATCTTCAAAGTTGTGTTTTTATAAAATCATCAAAATTATGTTTTTAGATCAAATTTCAAAATTATAAAAAAAAGAATCGCGTTAAAATCAAAATTATGTTTTTAAATCAATTTTCACAAAGTACAAATTTCCCCAATTTTCAAAATTTGTAAATTATCAAAATTGTTTATATATAAATCAATTTTCACAATTTGTAAAGTTTGTAAAATCATTAAAATTATGTTTTTAAATCAATTATTACTTTTTAAAATTTCCCCAATTTTCAAAATTTGTAAAATCTTCAAAGTTGTGTTTTTATAAAAGTCCCCATACTTCTCATAAATTTTATAAAGAAATATTCACTTGTTTATTTTTTATAAACAATTAAAATGTAATTGCTTGAATAAATATTTATTTTAAATCTATTTTTGCGGTATTTCGACAGCAAACTAAAAACTCTTTAGAAAAAGCCCGTTTTTTGCATTTTTGTGTTACTAGAACTTGTTTGAAAATTAACCAAAAGATTATCGATATTTTTTACCTTCTTCGACGCTTTTTTCGGACTGCGGCAGCGAAAAAACAATCAAGTCAGAATGTCTGCTGGAATTTCTAGCGTAATCCTCGCCCGAAGTCCAAGAGCAAACGCTACTATTTTCTGTGTTGTTGTTGTCATCATGTTTTTCGGTTGGTTTTTCCTTGTGAACCTTTCAAATGAAAATATATTTTGTGAAAAAGTTATTTTTTCTTATTAAAACCTAGTAAGAAAAAGTTGTGTAAAAAACTAACCATGTGATATAGGTTTAAAATTTTCCTAACTAAAAATTTTAGGTTTACATTTATAAATTTAAAATATTTTCAACTATCCAGCATTGAAAGACAAAATTTACTAACAGTTTACTTCTGTATTAAACAATATTATTTTCAATTTCAAACTATCATTTTTTATTAAAAATTTTATCTTAAGTATAATTTATTTGGGCAGAATTTTGTAAGTCATAAATATTTTTTTTTATTTATACATTAACCGTTTCTGAAATAATTAATAAAAACCTAATTTTGCGAAACAGTTTAAAATGTCTATAGCGCCCCCAGAAGCCGTTTCCAAACACTTTGTATTTCCATGTCAACTTAAATATAAAAAAAAGGTGGAGCATTTCAGTTTACTACAGGAAAAACAAAATTTATCAATCCTTAACGTAAACGCATTATAATTATGGGGTAGTTAAATTTTTTCTGACCTATACTTTTTATGGTTTTATTCAAGGCGTTTTGTAATTTTAAACATTTCTGTGAAATCGGAATTTCAATTGAGTTTACCGTTTTCGAGATATTTACAAAAAAATCTCCTAATTACGTCACATTGACAACGTTGCCAGCTTTTTCTATGGTTGCCAGTGTGTTTAGTTTAAGATTCTTACGATAGATGGCGCCACGCTATAATATTTTAGTTTTAAAACCACTTGATCTATAATTTTAGTTGAGAAGAAGAAGAGGAATGGATTTTTTGACGTTTCTTTTTTTCGGGTTATGTTTTTTTTAAATTTAGATTATTGAAAATCAATGTTATTGTTATGTTATTTGTAATTGATATTAGATAAGTGATTTATTAATAACGGACTCCAAAGCAGAGGAATCTTGTGGAATGGTTGGTTACATTGAACATTGGAGCTTTTAAACAAATAAAGTCAGTACCTATAATTATAATCATATTCTGTCGTAAATGCATTTCATTAGTATAATGCCTAGTTCTTTATATTCTTCTAGATATATCTTGGACTCTAAAATATCAAACAGTAATATGATACCTCGTAATAAGGAAGATAGGTTCTTAATGAATTTGGTGACCATCTTTCACTCAACTGACAGTGACAGTATTTGTACATAACCTCTTCGGGTATTTTCTGACATAACCGAATGAAATCATTAACAAGACAACTTGACAACAGGGTAATTTTCAACCAATAGAAATCTTAGAATGTTGGTCACATGGCGAGGTTTGTGACGTCATAAAAATGTATATTTTTTGTAAATATCTCGAAAACGGTAAACTCAATTGAAATTCTGATTTTACAGAAATGTTTAAAATTACAAAAGTATAGGTCAGAAAAAATTTAACTACCCCATTGTACAATTCGTGCATTTACCTTGTCCAAGGGTCTGTCTTCGGCCCCTGCCTCGAACAAGTCCATGGAATCGATGCGGTAGCAGCTCGAGTGCGCAGGTCCGGACTCGTTCGCGAGATCTCGCACTTCGGGCGCGCTCGGCACCACCACGAACTCGTCCGACAGCTTTGCCGCGACGTTTCGGCCGTCGTCGGACGTCGACTTGACGCTCTGGTTGTCCGAATCCGAGCTGCAGTTCTCGTCCGTAGGGTTCAAGCTCATCGGCACTGAAAAGTCGCACGTCTGAATGTCGAGTTATCACGTGCAAAATAATCGATCCACACAAATTTTCGATGAATTTCAATCGCAAATAACTTTTTTATTTGATGTCGGATTTAAACGAATATTAAAGATTATTGTAGATACATTAATGGAGAATCGCTCACATTTTATAAATTACTAAAAAATACACGTACGTTTATAATATACAGGTTTAAACAAAAAGATGTTTTTACCATAAGTTTAGGACACTCTGTAGAGTGGCAAAACCGTATATTGTTCTAAATTAAGTTTTATTTATCAAGTCACATCTATTCTTAACAGTTTTGTTTTTGGTTCACCTCGATATATTTATTTCTGTGGAAAATATGGATTTTTTTTAAAAACATTGCAATTTCCAATATTTTTCTGTATGAAGAACTAAGGTTGCTATGGTCCATCCATAGGCTATGGAGAATGACAGTGACAGTTTTGTTGAATCATCCCATACTTGGACATGTCATATACATCTTTCAAAAGCTATCAAATTGTTTTTTGCAAATTAATGTTTATATTTTGAGGTGTTTTCTTACTTTATAAAATGGATATGTCTCCGACTGATGTTGCCAGAGCAATTAATTTAATCCAGGATTGACGGTCACAGTATTACGTGGCAAGTGTTTTAAACGTCACAAGAAGTAAAGTACAAAGGGCAACATCAGTCGGAGACATTTTTAAAAGTAAGAAGACACCTCAAAATTAACACATTAATTTACAAAAAAAACAATTTGATAGCATTTGAAAGCTGTATGACATGTCCAAGTATGGGATGATTCAACAAAACTGTCAATGTCATTCTCTGTAGGCTATGGATGGACCATAGCAACCTTAGTTCTTCATACAGAAAAATATTGGAAATTGCAATGTTTTTTAAAAAAATCCATATTTTCCACAAAAATAAATATATCGAGGTGAACCAAAAACAAAACTGTTAAGAATAGATGTGACTTGATAAATAAAACTTAATTTAGAACAATATACGGTTTTGCCACTCTACAGAGTGTCTTAAACTTATGGTAAAAAACATATTTTTGTTTAAACCTGTATATTATAAACGTACGTCTATTTTTTAGTAATTTTTTAAAATGTGAGCGATTGTCCATTAATTTATCTACAATATTCTTTAATATTCGTTTAAATCCGACATCAAATAAAAAAGTTATTTGCGATTGAAATTCATCGAAAATTTGTGTGGATCGATTATTTTGCACGTGAGTGTAAATAGTTTGAAATCTGTTTGATTTCAAACTGGATTCTCCGAATGTCTTACTCATCCTGGTGTTAATTTGCCTCAAGACCTCGTGCATGTCCAAAGCGTTCAAGTATTGCGGAGCCTCGCTGATCTTCTGCTCGTCGCCCTCGACGGCAACGCTGCTCGACATGGTTGCGCCCGCGTAACTCAGCAAGTTCGCCTGTCCGTCGTCTTGTTTCTCGACGATTTTGTTGGCGGCGTCGCGAAAAGGTTCGACCCTGATCTGGCAACCGAGCCACTGGCCGAAACGGCGGCCCTTGTGGTGAAAGTGCCAGTAGCACTCGTAGCGGCCCTGTTCCACTGCGAAAAATGTTAAATTTGTTTTGCGTTTTTCAACATAATTCAATTTTTTTTATTTTTATACAGGGTGAGTTTTAAGTTGACGCGTTCCTTTTAACAGTGTGTAGAAATCAGCTAGACAAATAAATATTTTAAGTAACTTTTTTATCAAAACTCAAAAATAAAAAAGTTATAGCCCATCAAAGTTTAATTAAATTTTAAGCCGGTCCTGGCTATTGTTAACGAAAAACATAACCATAAAAATATCAAAATAAACAATGCAAAATGTCATATTTGACAACAAACATAACCATTTAAATCAAATTGACATTTTGCAATAAAAAATGTCATTATTTACTTAAGTTGCAGCATTTGCATTTTGACGACACTCTCCATAAATTAGTAACATTTCCACTAATTCATTATTGCTATAATTATGAACCATTTTTAACAATAATTGAGGCACAAAAAAACTGACATTCTTCATTGCTAAATGTCATTTTGATTTAAATGGTTATGTTTGTTGTCATAGATGACATTTTGCATTGTTTATGTTGTTATTTTTATTTTTATGGTTATGTTTTATAGCCAGAACCGGCTCAAAATGACAGTTGGCTGATGTCAGAATTTGTAATATTTATATAATGATACAAAATATATATTCAGTTGAACTTTATTAATGACAAATTTATTGACAAATTCAACATTCATTTGTCTAACATAGGTAACAATAGTCAATATCAATAATAAAAGCAGCTATTATTTATCTTACAGAATTGACGGGTGGTATTTTTTGACATTTGTCATTTTTGACATTATTTGACTATTATAATAAAAAGTCATCAATATTCAACTTATTTATTTTCAACATTTCATAAAACGGAAATTGTGTTATAAAATGACAGATAACAAGAAATAACAGATGTCAAAAAATATCAAATGTCATCTGTCACTTTTGACATCAGCCACCTGTCATTTTTTGACATGTGTCATCTGTCACAGGTCAAATTTGACACCTGTCACTTGTCATTTTATGTGAAATGAAATCTGTCATTATTGACTTCTGTTATTTTTCACTGTTAATCTAAGTAATTCATTTTCACTGTTAATGATTATTTCTAATTATCCAAGTATCTCATTAGTAAAATTGTTTAATGAATAGCTAATATTAATTGATCAATAATTAACTATTTGAAATAATAATTCAATTTAACAATCAAATTTTAAAATATGTAACTTATTTTTTTTTAAATTCAATTATGAATATTCGTTTAAATCTCTTAATTTTTGGAAACAGCTTCAACTTTGTTTTTTATAACATATTAATACAATTTAAGTACAATTTTTGAAATAGTATTGTTTGATACTATAGTAAATTACTATAGTATCAAAAATAAATACTACAATTGGTAATTATAGAAATTTTGTTAATAAATTAAACTTACTTGGAATTTGTAATTTAACAGTCACAGTTCCTTCTTCCCCAGTCTTCAACTTTGGACAGGGAACTGAATGGTTAATTGGACGCAAATATTTAGACCCCCATGTGTACTGAAGGTTAGTCTAAAAAGGTTTGAGATATCGTTATTATTTTTTAAATGTTTTAATTTAATTTAATTTAGTGCGCATGTCCGGCTAAAAACTTACATCGGCCGTCCACTCGTTGCTTCCGGTGTTGACGATTTTCCACTTGTGCATGTAAACCTCGCCGCCGTGAAAGACGGGCTCGTGCCCATCGACCTGTTCGATGACTGCAGCGTCCATCTGGTAAAAAGTCTCCACCGGGTTCGTCTTGGGCCGGGGCTTGCTGGTGCTCGGCCCCACGTCGCTGTCGCTGGTGGATTTCGTGAACAGCGCCAACTTCTTGGCCCTGATCTTGTTGGTCTTGCTCTCCAGATATTCCAGCTTGTTTTCCAACTTCCGCTCCAGTTTCAACGATTTTATCAGCTCTTTTCTAAAGCAAAACATGTATTTATGTTTTGTTGAGAGACTTGGCAACGTGGCATTGTCAAACAAAGAAGAAGAAAGAACAATCCTTATCACTTATTCATATAAATATTTACTTGATTTAAATTATGTAATCAAAGTTATTTTTAGCTTAGGAGAATTTAAAAGAAATAATAAACTTTTGCATAAAATTATGCAACACTGTACTTACTCGTTAGTTTGACGTTGAGACTCGTCCAATCTGACTTTGCGCAATCTCTTCGGGTCCACTTTGTTTTTCCTGGAGTGGTAGCAAGAACAGTTGTGCTGTGCAACAGGTGCCGGTTGCTTGATACCTGCAACTGTTGTTGCGACCACTTCCTTCACCTCGTTGGACATTTCTTCTTTAAACTGGATTGAAGAAAAATAATTTAGAAGATGAAACAAATCGACTTACTCAATTTTTTGCTCTTTAAATCCTTAAGGGTGAAGGTAAATTCCTCTTGAATTTTCCTTTACCATTTTTTCAAAAATTGCAAGTTATTTAACTTAATATAAGTATTTTTTTTTTACAAAACAAGGAAGCCACTGGATGTCACTGACCCACTCTATAAATCATCATTGTTTTTACCTCTAAAAACAAGCTATTATTCATCCAAGCAAAAAAGAAAATTTCTACTTTACTTAAAAAATGATTTTTGTATTAAATTAGGTATTATGTATTCGGAATTTTACACATTTGATTATGTTGGTATGGTATGCTAATATATTTTTTGTATTTTTAATATTTAAAATTGGTACTCCTGTTCAAGCCCTTAATTTTAAATACTTTGACATTTGGAGACTACCTATTAATAATTTAAAAGTAAAATACAATAAAAACTGATTTTAAAATATCATTTAGACAAAATATGTGATAAAAGATAAAGAAGTATTGAATGAGTCATACTCATTAAATTATTGACTTTCACTGAATGCATTTTGTTTATTGTTTGGTATTGTTGTTAAATTGTTGCTCGAAGGACCATAAAACGATGCTTGTGTTTGTTTGATGTTGTTGTATTGTTGTATTGTTGATTAAAACCACAATAGTGTATGGTTTTTAAGTAGATATTTATTTACACATAACTTAAACTAAAACTATTTAAACAAGTGAAATAAAAACTAGATCATTGGCGATCAATTTGGGTAGTCGATACTGCCCATGTGTTGCAATGCTGCATAATTGAGTGAATGTTGTCGAATGTCGATTGCGATTGTCGTCCTACAGTTCGGGTAGTTTTTACCCCCCTCGCCTAGACATATGATTGGCTTGCCTCTACAGTGGGAGTGGCAATATAAGCCTGCTTAAATTATACTTAAACTATACATTTACGTGATAACGAATTAAAATTGAAACTTTGCTTTAACATAAGCCGGCCACCTTGAAAGGTGTACCTTTCAAAATATGAAAGATTCAACTAAAGTATATCTTAATTACTGGTAAACATGAACAAAGAGTGTACAACACTAAATATGTCAAATTGTTGACGGTACACTAATTACTTATAAACTACTTAAAGTTATAATAGTATGTATGACAAAAAAACTAAAAATAGAAACTATTACTTAAATTATTCAGTTCATTCACTGTTATTGTCCTCTTCACTTTTGGGGAAAAGGCAGATTTTATTAATTGCACGTTTCACTATTGCACCGCTCGGTAACTTGAGAGACACTACGCGAACTAAATTATCAGAACCGGGATGAAGTTCGATAATCCTGCTCATTGACCATTTTTGCGGTGGTGTTTTGTCCTCCTTGATTAGGACAAGTTCACCGACATTGACATTGTCGGCCTTTTCAAACCTCCATTTTGTCCGTACCTGGAGATTCGACAGGTACTCCTTGGACCACCGTTGCCAAAACTGTTGTAGGCAATGTTGGGTCCTTTGATAACGATCCAGTCGATTTTCGTGAATGTTGGTGACGTCATGTTGAGGTAACGCCATCAAAGAGTCTCCGATGAGGAAATGACCGGGAGTAAGGGGAGCATAATCGTTAGGGTCATTGGACAAAGGGGTTAGAGGACGGGAGTTTAAACATGCTTCTACCTGTACTATGACGGTATATAATTCTTCATAGGTCATTTTTGCATTTCCCAAAATTTTAAACAAAAAACCTTTTGCTGCTTTAACCGTGGCTTCCCAGAGGCCACCCATGTGTGGCGCCTGGGCAGGGTTAAAGTGCCATGAAATTCGATCGTTATGTAAAAATTTTATTATTTTACTCTGCGTGTCACTAGACGCTAGACACTTATATATTGCTTTAAGTTCGTTATTGGCACCAGTAAAGTTGGTGCCGTTATCTGAAAAAATGTCTGAGGGTTTTCCTCGCCTTGCAATAAATCGTTTAAGTGCATTCATAAATGCATCTGTTGACAAATCTTTGACAAGTTCCAAATGAACCGCCTTTGTTACAAAGCACACAAAAATACACAAATATGCTTTTACAAATTTTGCCTTCCTTGTTGTCCCATCTTTAATTATAAATGGGCCAGCAAAATCTAGACCGGATTTTAGAAAGGGTCTACTTATTGTTACGCGTTCGATGGGTAAATCACCCATCTTTTGATTTATTGACCGAGGCTTGTTTTTAAAACACTTAACGCACTTTTGTACAACTCTTTTTACTGCTCTATTGCCGGACAGTGGCCAATATTGCAGCCTCACATTTGATAACGTTAATTGACAACCGCTATGCAAATTTCTTTCATGAATATGTGAGATTAATAGTTCTGTAAGTTTGTGTTTGGTGGGAACGATTATAGGATGCTTTTGATTGTAATTAATTTCTGCGTTTCTCAATCTACCCCCAACTCGCAATATACTGTCATTATCTAAAAACGGACTTAAATTTGATAATTGCGATGATGGTTTGATCGGTTGTTTTTTCGTTAACTGCGAAATCTCCTCAGTAAATTGTTCATTTTGACAAAGTCTAATTAATGCCTTTGTGGCGTTGTCTAGCTCATTTACTGATAGATTTTTCGTAAGTTTTGATTGTTTTTTACAATTATTTATGAATCTTAAGATATATGCTGTTACATTTCTTAATTTCGAAAATGTTGAATAATTATTAAATATCGAGATTTTTTCTGTTGAAATTGTAGCAATGGCTGTACGTTTAATTTCCGGAATGGCTATTGTCCTATTTTCTTGATTGTAAACCGGTATATCGCACCTTGTATGCAATATTTCAGGTCCGTACCACCACAAGTTGGAATTAATTAAAACATTTGGATTGACTCCACGCGAAATGATATCTGCTGGGTTGTTTTCCCCTCGTATATGATACCAATCAGTGCATTGCGTTATTTCTGTAATTTGTGTGACACGGTTGGCCACAAAAGTTTTTAAATAACAAGGTTGTATTTGGAGCCACGCTAAAACGATTTCTGAATCGGACCAACAATAAAGTTTGTCGATTTTAATAGCCAGTGCTAGTTGCACCTTTTTTAATAGTTTTGTAAGCAATAGCGCCCCACATAACTCTAATTGAGGAATTGATACTGTTTTTAAAGGAGCCACCTTTGATTTCGCGCAAATTAAGTTTGTACTATAGTTAACTTGATCATTTGTCGATCGCGCATATATGCAGCAGCCATATGCAGACTCGCTGGCATCGCAAAAGGCGTGTAATTCTATCGAAACAGGATTTTCACAAAGTAAGGGCCTGTTTGTAATTATTGAATTAATTACTGGAAGCTGACTGATATAATTCAGCCATTCGCTATTTAATTCTTCAGGAATAATGTCATCCCAATCAATTTTTAATAGCCAGAGTTTTTGCATAAAAATTTTTGCTTTAATGATTATTGGGCCGACTAAACCCAAAGGATCAAAAATTTTTGAAATTAAGGATAAGACTTGCCGTTTTGTATATTGTGATTTTACATTTAATGTTGAATTAGAATGAAATGAAAAGTGAATTGTATCTGATCGTGAATTCCATATCAAACCTAACGTTTTTATTACTTTGTTTTCACTAAATTGACTTTTAAATAAATCAGCTGTATTGTCCGTGCACGAGTCTGTAATATTATTGTTGTTTGATGACCATTTGCTTAATTCAAAACCATATGACCGTAATAAAGTATTTAGTTCGTCTTTTAATTGTATTGCGTCTTCAATGCTGTTAGTCCCGGTTAGCAAATCGTCAACATAAAAATCCCGTAATATGGTTTCACAGGCAAATTTTTTAAAATGTATATTTTGATATGCAATTTCGTGTAGACACCGAATTGCTAAAAATGGTGCACAAGATGTGCCGTACGTAACTGTATTTAAATTGTAAATTTGAATAGTCTCGTTTTGATTGTCTCGCCAAAAAATGTTTTGATATTTTCTGTCTGACTGATCAACAAGGATCTGTCGATACATTTTTTTTGATGTCAGCAGTCATAACATACTTATGACTTCTAAATCGAACAACGATATCAAAGAGATCGTTCTGAATAGTTGGCCCTACACATAAACAATCGTTAATGTTTAGACCGTCGGTTAATTTTGCAGATCCGTCAAAAACAACTCGAATTTTGTTGTCTTTGTAAACTGCATGGTGTGGAAGATATGAAACAGGTGTAATGGCATTATCAATGCCCATATGTTGGAGTGAAATATATTCGTCCATAAATTCAATATAAGAGGCTTTTAACTTGTCGTCGTTTACAAATTTTGTCTCTAATGACTTAAAACGTTTAATAGCAATGGTTTTTGAGTCACCAAGATTTATGACGGAGTTTTTAAAGGGCAATTTAACAATAAATCTCCCATTGACATCACGGGTTGTGGTCGATTTAAAATAATCTTCGCAATATTGTTCTTCAAATGATAAGGGTTTCTTTATGTTAATTTCTTCTAATTCCCAAAATTTCGCTAATTGTTCATTTAGACTTATACCGCAAATATTGTTGCTTTGATTGAAGTTTAAATTTATTGAGCCTGTTACTACCCATCCGAGTTTCGTTAATTGTAAAGTTGGTTTACTGTCACCTAATTGTATAGTTTGTGACTTTAATAGATTATAGTATATACCTGCGCCTAATAAAAGATCAATCTGTCCAGGTTTATTGAAAGTTGGGTCAGCTAATTGAATGTCTTGACCTATATTTAAATTGTCTGTGTTAAATGGAATTGTCGGAATTTTATTTGTAATAGTCGGTAGTACTAAACATCGTAATTTAGTGTTAAAATCATTATATTTAGATTTGATATGAATTTCAGCAGATGCGTGAACCTGTGTTAATTTCTGATTAATGCCTGTAATTGATAATTTGAAATCTTGTAATTGAATACCTAACCTTTTTACCAAATCTGCCGTAATAAAGTTACTTTGACTACCTGAGTCCAAAAGAGCTCGACAGCTTTGAG